AGGACAAGCAGCAACAAGGAGGCATTGTTTGACCAGAAGGGGGAAAAAAGAGCAGTGAAAAGGATCAAGGCTAGACTTAAGGAAGAACTTACCAGCCCTCAGGGATTGTAGGCAAAATTAATAAAGAAGGAAAAAAAAAAAAAACCCAAAGCCTGCACCTGCCCCTGTTGGCAATACATAGAAAGGATCCTGCCACATTGAGTGAGGCATGGAAACGATGGCCTCAGTTTCCTCATCTGTAAAATTAGGGTGTTATGAAGCAACATGATCCCTGAGGTTCCTTGAGGCCCAGACATCCCTGAAATGTAGTGATTTGGGGATGAGGGGGAGACTGCATTTGACCACTTTGGCTGCCCGTGTGCACTTACCCTCCCCACCCAGACAGAGGCCACACACGCCCCTCCCACTGTCACTCCTGGTGCTCCCCGCCAGCTCCCTCAGACATCTGATCCCAATTGTCCGGGCCCACCACTGCCCCATGCAGCACAGAGGCCACCCCACTCCCAACTGAGGCCTGGGGAAGGAGTAGGAACAGAGTACCTGGTTCCCCAGAATCAGGGACCGCTTTACCCTCCCCGTCCCTCACCCCACGGCTAGAGGAAAGTGGAGAATGGCCCCCAGATAGCTGTAGTCAGTGAAGACGGGAATAGTGTGACCGTGTCCCCTCTTCCTTCCCCAGCCCATGCCCTACCCTCACTGGACACCTCAAAAGCTGGTTCCAGGCCGGGCATGGTGGCTCACGCCTGTAATCCTAGCACTCTGAGAGGCCGAGGCAGGCGGATTACTCGAGGTCAGGAGTTCAAAACCAACCTGAGCAAGAGCGAGACCCCGTCTCTACTATAAATAGAAAGAAATTAATTGGCCAACTAATATATATAGAAAAAATTAGCCGGGCATGGTGGCACATGCCTGTAGTCCCAGCTACTCGGGAGGCTGAGGCAGGAGGATTGCTTGAGCCCAGGAGTTTGAGGTTGCTGTGAGCTAGGCTGACGCCATGGCACTCACTCTAGCCTGGGCAACAAAGTGAGACTCTGTCTCAAAAAAAAAAAAAGCTGGTTCCTTTGGTCTGCAACCTGCTGCCCTCCTGTCCTCCAATCCCCAGGGAGGAGGCCCCCAAGGAGGAGGGAACAGGCTCACTTCCCCCATCCCCACCCCTAGCCCTGACCTCCCTGACCTCCCACACGATTTGCATGGAGACAAAGAAGCAGGTTTGTGCTAAGCCAGGGCTTGTGGACTGATCTTCCCCACTTTTGGAAAATCCAGTTTACAAAACAAATAAGGAAGGGCATAACTATTTCTCTAGTCAGCAGAGCAGGCTCACCCCACCCAGCTAGAAGTTCAGGAGAGAATTAGCAGCTCTTCCTCCACCGCTAGCTATTGTGCAAAAGCTGGAGTGCGGCCTCCACCGTGCCACAGCCATGCCTGCAGCCCTGGATGTGCGAACACAACGCTGCCATTGAGCCCAGCTCCCCAGCCTTCCGTCCGGGCCCCAGCACCTGCACGGGTGTCTGGGTACACACCAGGCACGTGTGTAACTGCTCGGATGTCCACATCAGGCAGGCTGGCTGTGACCTCTGGCCTGTGTTCCCTCCCCTGCCTTACCCCCTAGGAGGGACACAGAAGCGGTCTTATCACTGTTTACAGTCACTTTCCAGAATTTAAATCTCAATCTTGAGAAGCCACGTGGAAGAGACAGTTTCCTTCTATCTTGACCACGCCCCTGCAAGACCCTAGCTCCCCTTAGGGCTCAGAGACAGGCAGAGCACAGAGGCCTCCCTGCACACCAAACTCACACACTCAGTCCCTTGTTGGGGGGGGGGGGGACTCCCTGGCAAAGTGCCAGAAGAAACCACCTGCCCCTTTGGGTCCTGCACGTGGGTCAGGTGGGGCTACAGAGAAGAAAGCCAGGCCTATGGTCCACAAAGCAGGGCCAGGGCGGGAAAGCTATTCCCTGGAAGCCCCAGGATTCAGGAACCTGAGTGCCACTCAAAGATGGGGCCAGAGGCAGGAAGAAAACAGGAGGGAATGACAGTGAGCATTTGGCACAGTGCCCAGCACATAGCAGGTGTCCAGTAAATACTCTTGGGTCTAGGGTCCAGCATGCCAGGGTAGGAATTTTTAACCATGGGGAAACTAAGGCTTAGGAAGGTACAGAAGGCACTTCCTTGTAGGTGAGGTCCACCTCTGGGTAACCCCAAAATCGCCAGGTCTGGCTTACTGGCCCAGACTGTCATCACAGGCTGAGGGAACATGCCTGCCCTGGGCAAGGTGCTACACAGCTGGGTCACCAAGTCCCCACACCTTCTCCCTCACCAGGGTCTGCCCCAGGGAACATCCCAGCTGGGCCAAAGGTCAACTGGGTCTGGCAGAGGCTGGCACTATAAAGGCAGGAAAGGAAAGACAGAGGCTAACCTGTTTCTTTTGGCTAGAGGCCAGGGGGGAGACAGGGGAACCTCTGCTTCAGCAGGGGGGAAGCAGCACCCAGAGAGGGGAGCTTTATCTCCTGCCTCTCCTGGATGGCCCCAACCCCCCTTGCTACATCCTCCCCAGAAGAAAATTCAGCTGGAACTTTGGCACTAGGCTGAGAAAACACAGAGAAAACAAGGACAAGCCTCTGATTTTTCTCCAACTCCCAACGCTCACTGAATTCTAGGCTACTAGAGTCTTCAGGAAGAGACGTGAAGAAGCATGGAGCCCGTGCTGCCCACTGGGATTGGGGCTCGGCCACACTTCTGGTCTGGTGGGATGGGGGCTCAGAATCCAGCCTGAAGTGGTCCAGCAATCAAGAGGTTAAATGCCCTGGCTTCTCTGAACCCCACCCCATTCTCCAATGGAGGGAGGAAGTGGCAGAGAACCAGGGCTTGTGTGAGCCCTTAAGAATTTGAAGAATGTCCCATTTCCCTTGGGGAGGAGGGGAGGAGGGGCTGGGGAGGGGGGAGAAACAGTGGAAGTTAATAGAAGAGAAGGGGCAGCAGAAGTGGGGCCAGGATAGAGCTGCAACCCTTCCTCAACCACCTACCACCTGCCCTTCCAGAAGGCATAGCCTTCATGTTGCTTCTTGGGTTTGAGATCCTATCAGGACTTGGGGCAGGCAGTGTCTGTGGAGTGATCAAACCCCCAAAGAAGGGGCAGTGGAACTAGCAGGGGAGTGGGAGAGGAGAAGGGAGAGACAGTGTTCCAAAGGGTTAAGCCCCTAATCCTTTATAGATAAGTCCCCAATTTCCCTTCCTAGGTGAACTTTGGCTGCAAAGAGCCTCCTGAATGAGAACTAAAAACAAAGCATGTCTTTTGAAGTGGCTCACTCCTACAATCCTAGCACTCAGGGAGGCTGAAGCTGGAGAATCAATCACTTGAGCTCAGGAGTTTGTGACCAGCCTGAGCAAGAGCAAGACCATTTCTACTAAAAATAGAAAAATCAGCATGGTGGTGCACCTCTGTAGTCCCAGCTTTGTTTTTTTTTTTTTTTGTCCCAGCTTTTTTTTTTTTTTTTTTTTTTTTGAGACAGTCTCACTCTGTTGCCTGGGCTAGAGTGCCCCGGCATCAGCCTAGCTCACAGCAACCTCAAACTCCTGGGCTCAAGCGATCCTCAGCCTCCCAAGTAGCTGGGACTACAGGCATGCGCCACCATGCCCGGCTAATTTTTTCTATGTATTTTTAGTTGGCCAATTAATTTCTTTCCATTTTTTTTTTTTTTGAGACAGAGTCTCGCTTGTTGCCCAGGCTAGAGTGAGTGCCATGGCGTCAGCCTAGCTCACAGCAACCTCAAACTCCTGGGCTCAAGCAATCCTTCTGCCTCAGCCTCCTGAGTAGCTGGGACTACAGGCATGCACCACCATGCCTGGCTAATATTTTTTATATATATATATATATTAGTTGGCCAATTAATTTCTTTCTATTTATAGTAGAGACGGGGTCTTGCTCTTGCTCAGGCTGGTTTCAAACTCCTGACCTCGAGCAATCCGCCCACCTCGGCCTCCCAGAGTGCTAGGATTACAGGCTTGAGCCACCGCGCCCGGCCAGTTTCTTTCCATTTTTAGTAGAGATAGGGTCTCACTCTTGCTCAGGCTGGTTTCCAACTCGTGACCTTGAGCAATCCACCTGCCTTGGCCTCCCAGAGTGCTAGGATTATAGGTGTGAGCCACCACGCCCAGCCTGTAGTCCCAGCTTCCTGAGAGGCTGTGAGGTCCCCAAAATAGAGTTCCGAGTTCACATTTGCTACTCACAAGGTCAACCTGAACATGTTGATGCCCCCTCTAGAACTGCATGGAATGGGGGACCCCACCTCTATGCCCCCTTCCCACTCCCACCTCAGCAGGCTAGGCTGCAGGTCCCAGAGCAAAAGGAACAGAGCCCAAACTAGCCCCCCCAAAAAAAAACAATCTGTGCAGCCTCCCTCACCAGCCCAGGAAGAGTTTTGCCTGGCCCAGGCCACACCTTCCACGCTGCCCCTCACTTTTCAAGCAATGAACACCAGAAGGGCTGGAGCCAGGGTTCCAGAGAGGTTTTTTGAAAGGACAACTGCAGGAAGGGCCCCCCAAAGCCCAGGTGAGCAAAAGAAACTGTCAATTGCTGTTTTGGGGAGAGAAGCGAGGGAAGTAAAGGGGAGACAGAGCCCCAACCCCAAACACAACTGGGCACAAACAGGCAGGTCACATACTCTCCAAGGACGGCGCTCGCTCCCTCTCTTGCAGCACAGTGCAGGGGAAAGAACATGCTCACTTTGCCGCCCAGAGACTTGGGTTAGAGCTAGCCCCTCACTAGCCATGCGATCTTGAGAAAGTCCCTTGCCTTCCCCAATCCTCAGTTTCCCCATCTGTCAAGTGGGGATAACAGCCTTGTTTATCCAGCTTATGTAAGGGCAAACTGTGATTATCAAGTAGGGTGTGGAAGTGCTCGACAATGTCACCTTGGGCAGTGTCACCCAACTACCCAGTATCTGTGGCTATCACGCTGGCAGGAGCCCAGGCGCCCACCCTGCCCCTGCCCGAAGCAGGACTCACGCGTTGCAGTAGGGCTTCTTCTCATAGCCCTTGTAGTTCTTCATGTTCAGTGTCATCTTGCAGGTCTCGCAATGGAAGCATGCTTTATGCCAAAACTGGGGGTGGAGAAAGAAGGACATCCATCAGGCACCGGGAGGGGCATTCCTTCCCAGGGACTCTCTTAGGCCCACAGCTGTGGGGAGCACATGAAATCACCCCAGGAGAGCTGGGGGTATCTCAGGTCACGGGGACATCTCAGGTCACAGGCTCTAGCAGCAGATGACACTCTCCTCCCCTTCCCTACCCCCCACCAATCAGCCATGTGAGCTGATTGAGGAGGAGAGGGCAGGCATGAGGATGAGTGGGGAAGAGCCCAGTTACAGGGGTGCAGCAGCCCCAGGTCAGCTCCGACCAACCACCCTCCCCACCCCCACACAGAGCTCGAAAGACCTCATTGCTCATGCCAAGCTGAGCTGGGTTGCTAAGAAGAAGCCATTAAATATGAAGGGGCAGCTCCTCTCACCTCCAAGGCCTCAGAAGGGGAAGGTCCAGTCCCCATGCACACAGCCTCAGAACCCAGCTATCCCGCACCAGGGCCTCCCAACACACACACACAAGCCCCACGGGATCCTGGGGTGATGCTCCCAGCCGGAGTGTAGGAGAGTGCCTGGCAGCTGGTCTCCCCCAAGTACGGGGGGCTCTGCTTCAAAGCCTTGGAGATGGAACCCCTATAGAGGACATCAAAGCTCCACCCCACTAACTGTATGACCTTGGGCAGGGCCCTGCACTTGGGAGGAGCCCACTTCCTTATCTGTAGAATGGATATAACACCTGCCCTCCTGGGATGGCAAAGCCCTCAGCCCAGCACTCAGCACCGGCCCCCAGGGCACCTAACTCAGATGTTAGGTGCTGGGCATGGCAGGCACGAACCTCAGCCAAGGGGGCTCAGCACTCAGCAGCTGACACTGGAGGTTGTGAGTGTTGGGGACAAGGTGGGACCTCACTGTACCGAACCACAGCTCCAATTCAATCATCATTCGTGCATGTGAGACTGAGGGACAAGCACGACTCCAGCAAAGCGCAGGGACCTGGAACTGAGCCACCAGGACCAATCCAGGGTGGCCAATGGAGGGGCCAGAGCAGAAGGCGATGAGAAATGATGCGATGGACGTGGGATGTGCCATCCTTGAGAAGTGTGGATGCTCAGGCAAGCTCATGCAAACTCGACATCCACAAGGCCCCACCCCAAGCACCAGCCAGACATCCTGCTGCCAGGACCCCAGAATCCAGGCTGCCTGAGTGACTTTCCCAGCAGGGGAGAGAGACCCTCCTGACCTCCAGAGGAGGAGGCCAGGGAAGGGCTGAGGAGACCTTCAGAGGAGTGCAGCCCAGGGCTGGTTCTTGGCCATCTGTCAAGGAATTCCCCCAAGGCGGCACTTTTCCAAATGTGGTTCCCAAACCAAGAGATATTTCTGAGACACTAGGGGGAGGGGACAGCATAAAGAAAGCTGAGAATCTGGAAACCGACCTCTCCCACCATGGCCCACTTCAACCAGAGGCTCCCCCTCCCAGCTAATCTCAGGAGGAAAATCACATTCTAATAGGGTATTTTCCCTATCAAGGAGACCCAAAGGAAAAACCTAATGGTGGAATATTAAACAAAGTGATAGGAGACCCACTCTTGGGAAGAAGGCCAGTTGAAGGTCTGGAAGCAAAGGGGTCTAAGCTGAGCCCCCTCCCCAACCTGTACCTGTAACAGCACCACCCTTCCCAACATGCAGCAAATTCCAGACTCTTCCACTGCGTAACCCCAACACATACAACCCACGGGAAAACTAAAACAGGGTGGTCCCTGCCCCCACAGGCTCCCGAAGTGACAGCCCCAATCCCTCCCCCAGTGGCTGGGAGGCATTGGCAGAGTGCCCCAGCCTTGTCACCACCCAGTCTGCTGGCCTCTGCCTGCTCAGCTGCACATGCCCCGCCTGGGCCCCCGCCTCCCCCCACCCCTGCAGGGGCCTGCCAGGAAAAACATTCTCCGGAATCCAGACCGTGACCCACTTTCACACACACGTTCGCAGGAACACACACTGTCCCGGGACCTGGGACCTCCAAGGCTGCTTCCTGATTGACGTGGGGGAGACAAAGGGAGGGAGACAGACACCTTTATTGTAGCAGATGGCCGGGCCCCCTGGAGAAGGGGCACAGAGCGCACTCACCATGTTGGGGCTATAGGGCCAACCCTCTATCCAGGGGCTCCACAAGACCCCTCCAGGCTGCCACTTGGAGGGGAGCCCCTCTACAAGGGATGGTACCCGTCTCCACAGTAGTAGCTCTTTTCCCCACCCCAGAGACTCCTTGCTCTTGGCTAGACGCCATTAGAGGCTAGGGCAGAGGACAGTGGTCACCTGTTCCCTCACAGGAGCTCTGGAGCACAATGAAAATAGGAGTGGACTGAGTGCCCTCGGTAAGTATTCAGTAAAGTGGACGTGCTGGGAGAAGGTGCTGGAAGGGGTCACGGGATGGGGCAGGCTCCAAGCCTGGCACCTCGAGCTGCTTCACGCCGCTCTCCTCTGCTCTCAGGAAGAGGGATCCAAGGTTCAAGAAAATCCAGCAGCTTCTGCCACTGTGTCCTTTTTGGAGTAGGAAAGCTGTGGGGAGTGGAGGAAGAAAATGGCCAGTTCCTCCACAACCGCTGTGAGCCATGCCTGAGCTGGGCACCAAGAGCCCAGGATGAAAAAAACCCTGTCCTGTTGCAACAGAGTCTGCTGAAGGACACTGTCAGGGAAATAAGTCAATACAATCCCACAGTGACCCTCTGTCTGCCTCCTGGCTCCGCCCTGTGAGCCCTGTCCCAGAGCAAGAGCCTCCCTCTTTCAGAGGCCCCAGGTAAGAAGATTTCAGAGCATGCCTCCGAATGCTCTGGACTCGGGAGCAAAGTACACCTGGAGGCGTGCAACCCTAATCCTTCCCACAGCCTGCAAGGTCCACGGTTTCCCTATTCAGAAGCCACACAGTCCCCAGACCAAACCCCTGGTGCCCATTAGAAGCCTCTCAGCCCAGATCCAAGGCTCCGAGGGAGGGTCACCCTTGACTTTCCCTTGCCTGCCTGCAACCCACTCCACAGAACGCAAACAGGCCGATGAGAAGAGGAGCCCTGGGAGGAGAGGGGCTAGGCTTGGGCCTGTCCCTCCGCTGCTCTGGGTGGGAGAGATGTGGCAAGCTTCAGGTCACTGCCCCTGCAGCCTGGCACCTTGCCCCATGCACCCGGGCTGCCTGGGGTGGCCGTGACTCAGGGTTGGAGTATGAGACCTACCCCTCCCTTCCTGTCGCCCAGGGTTACAGTTTCTCCCTCCTCCAGGGCAACGCCAGCCTAGCTCTGTTAGCCACCTGGGCCACTGGCTTAAGGGCATAGATCTTTATTGCAACTCCACAAATTCCAAAGGGGACATTATTACTCTGTGTCCCAGCTTCCCCTAAAGACCCCAGGCCCAGAGCATTCCTCCAGACAGGGTCAGAAAGGGGTGGGACCCGCTTTGGGCACTAATGAGACAGTGTAAATATAAAAGCACTTTTTGCAAACACACTGGCAGAAGAGCTGAGCAGAGAGAACTGTGGATGTGAATTCCCTCCCTGGTTAAGAGAGCAACGAGTCTCATCATCGACTGAGACTCCGTGTACGGGGTTCATGATTTACAGGAGCAATCACACCCACTTCGTGCGGCTGCTGTGAAGACTAAGCCCGGCACGCTGCAATACGTAGTAGTGATTATGAATGGATGGTCACAACATGATTGTGGGGTAGTCTAAGCTTCAGCTAGGAAAAATCGGGGCACCACAGCTGCAAGGACTCTGCCCCCTTTGAGGGAGAAGGAAGCGCTCAAGACAACCAGAGGCAGAGCCCGCCCTAATGGGGGACTCCAGGGGAACTGGCAGCAGACCAATCCTCTACCCTCCCACCTGCTTTTGGACAACCGATGAAGCAAGACAGGGGAGAGGGATATGGTCATATTCTTGACAATGCAGGTTCCCAGACATAAAGTACATGCACAAAGTAGGTGCTCAATAAATATTTGTCGAATAAATGAGCGAATGAGGTCACCCCGTTTCTCCCCCAGCTCTAATCCCAGAAGTCCTCTGGGGAAGCAAATCTCAACCTCCTTCCTCAAACACCGTCATCAGCAATACATATCTCTCCAGCATGCAGAGCACACTGGGTACTACAGGCTGGGGGCAGGGTGGCCTTCAGAGGTGACAAGGCCTTTATGCACCTTAGCCTTTGGGAGATAAAGCTCAGGGAGGAGAAACGGGTAGCACCAAGGACACAGCCTGTGCTTCGGGCCACACTGTGGGCCAAGTGCCATGGGGATTGCAGTCAAAGGAGTGAGCCTACTCTGACTTGGGAAGTCAGTCAGCAACAGCACCTATGGGACTGAATGTTCCCCCCTCCCAGGACTCAGTCCAGCTCCCTCCAGGCACTGACCCTCACCCCCATTCCAGGTACCTGTCCTCACTGCCTGGAACAAGTGGGGAGGAACTGGTCTGAAATCCGGGTATTTCAGGCCTCCTGCTCAGTGTAGGGGGTGGTCTCTCTAATGCCACTAGCTGTAGGGAGAGTTCTAAAAGAGAGGGAGGAATTACAATTCCCACTTCCCAGGGAACCCCCACTTGAGAGAACTGGGGAGCACACCCCACAGGGCCCCTGTCCCTCTCCCCTCTGACACACACCACTGAAGGTCTTTACAAGGGGAATGGGTGTGGGGCTGGACAGAGTATCCCAGAAAGGGAGGGAGGGCACAGCCTATACCTCACCCCTTTGGCACTTTGGCAGGCACTTTAGCGCACTGCCTCACCTCCAAGGAAATGACATCATCATACCCATCTGACAGACAGTGAAGACTAAGGCCCAGAGCTGGTGGGAGCAGACCGGGAACTGGGACAAGCCTCCCAGCTCCCGGGCTAGCAACCCTTCCATCAGATATTGCTTCTGCTTCATGCAGTGACGCATCCACTGTCCCTTCCCAATTCATGTCTGTGGAGAAGGGGAACACAGGGAACACAAGATGCAGAGGCCAAAATCCCTACCATTGGGGAAGGGCAAAAACCCCTGTGAGCAAGGACAGATAATTTCTCAGGGGAGATTTCTTCATCTGGTGGCTCCAAGTTCAAGTCCCACCCTCCAGAGGCTGGCACAGTCACCGGGCAGATCAGCCCCTTCCCTGGTGCCCACAATATGTCCCCTCCTCTCCTCCTGCCCAGTCAAGCCCAGAAAGGACAGTGAAATAGCAGCAGCCCTATATGCCCCCTTCCCCTAAGAGCAAGTTCAAATGCGTTTAAGAACCTCAAACCCCACCTCCTCACCCTGACTCACAGGCCGAAGGTCACCGAGGAAGCTGGAACCCCAAGGGGGAGGGGAGAGACAAAGTATCCAATGAACTATCCTTTCCCAAACAAAACCTGGCTCCAGGTCAGCAATGAACTTGGCCCTGGGGCTCCGCACCCCTCTTCCATCCTATGCCCCCAGCCTTGCACCACTTTTTCATTCCGTCCCCCCACCTCCGCCAGCTCAGACAGAAAGGAGAGACTATGTGGACTTGAAGCCAGCTTTGAGTGGTGCGTGAAAGGCACAATGAGGAAGGGGACAAAATCCCAGAGGCCTCCCCTCCACACAGGGAGGGGAGGCAGAGGGACAGGTTTTGCTTGAGGATTGTAGGGAGCTTACAAGACGACAAGATCCCACCCCAAATTGTGAGGGGGGGGCACCCAGGTCTACTCTCCACCCCACCCCAAATGTATAATGGCAACCAGATGAACGAGTCCAGTCTGGGCTGGGGGGGCATGTAAGGGCCCCCAGGGGTCAGTGAATTTCCACAAGACCACCCTCACCTCCCGTCACACCTCCCCCTTTCCTCGGCTTCCCCAGAACTCGGCCAACCCCACCCTCCATTGGACAAACCTGCTTTGAAAAGTTAGCTCTTTGTTCTACGAGCTGGTCTCCTAGCTCTGAGCACAATTTCAGGAGATCTCTGCGAAGCACCCCCCACCCACCCTACTCCAGCACCCGACCCCGCCCGGCTCAGGCTGAGCGGGCCAGCGCCGGGAGATGGCTTTTAATTTGAGGTGGGGGTTGGGAAGCTATGGAGATGTGCTGGGCCTTTAACTACTGAACCACCAAGGGGGCTGCAGGGCGTTCAAAAAAGGTGGTCTTGTGGTGGAGCTCGGGACCTTACACGAAGCCCCCTTCACCAGATGCAACACTGGCCCGCTGAGAGCCTCCGCCCCCCAGGCTCCAGACCAGGAAGCCGGGCCACAGCGGCCGCAGCGGCCACAGCGGACGGCTTCCCGGGCCCCCCAGCCTCTGCCCCGCCCCCCGCCGCCCCCTCCCCCAGCGCCCAGCGCTTCCGCCTACTTGGCGCTCGGCGCGGAGGGGAGAGGGAGCGGCCGTCTCTTCTGGCTCTCCCGGCCCTAGGGGGCGGGACTGCACCCCTAACCTTCCCCCTACACACCCCGGGGCCTGGCTTCCCCGCTCCTCTCCCGGACTCCCAACCCCGGGACACAGCCCATCCTTCTCCAGAAGTGGCTGCCCGCCACGCGTGGACTGCTCGCCTCTCTCGAGATCTCCTGGTTTCCAGACGGATCTGTCCCCATACCCTATGACACCGCCCGCCCTCCGTCCTTGCATTCTCCAGGGATCGCCGGGATAAGGTGGTAAAGACCTGGCCCTTCTCTCCCCCATCCATTCGGAGCACTGCTCGGGGATAGCACAAACGCGTCTCCGGGTCCCGGGCTCACCTTGTCCAGACAGTTCACCTTCTCCGTGGGGTACACGATCTTGCCGCACCGGGCGCAGTTGGGGTTCATGGCTCTGGGAGAGGCTGGGGCGGGGACGCCCGAGCTCGCGCGCGTTCTCTCTCCGGGGCAAGCTGGCGGGAGGCGGCCGCGGCTGCAACAGCACAGGCGGCGGCGACGGCGGCTGGAGCTGGGGAACTGGCCTCCGCCTCCGCCCTCCTTCCCCTAATAAACACAGCGGGGAGGAGGGGCTGCACCGGGGCGGGCACGCGCCGCGGGCGCGGGCAGGGGCGCGCGCGGCGAGGCGCGCTCCCCGGGCGACGTGGGGCCGCGCGGGGGCGGGTTCCGGGGAGGGCTCTGGGGCCGGGGGCGCTCGCGCCCCTGTGCTCCTGGGCGGACTGTGTCCTTTGCCCGGGCTCCTTCCCGTGTTGGAGGCGGCGCGGAGCCGGGCTGGCTGCACACCTGGGGCGCCCGGGTTGCACAGGGCGGGCTAGCCCCTCGCACCCGTCGAGGGTGGGGCTGGAACCCTCCTGAACACCCGAACAGATTCACTGGATTCGGGGACTTTCCTTTCTACTTGTTAGTACCTGGCCTGAACCTGCGCAGCGAATGGGAACCCCCTGCCCCTCCCCTCAGCCCAGTCCTCCCCACACCCTTCCCCCCCACATTTGTCGGAACCCGTCCCTCCCTCCGGGCCTCAGCGCCACGCGACCCGGGCTAGTTCTTCCCTCCCCGCGCCTCTGCCATGCTGCTTTCCCCGCGGTCCCCTGGATCCGGACACCTTGTGTTTTCAGCTTGGCCCCCTTTCCTCCTTCATTCCCCTGTCTTTATCTTTACTCGCTGTTCCCAGTGTAGCAGCTGCAACAATGTCTTAGTACCCAAAAGACCCACCTCCAAGCGCTGCAGCGGCGCGGGGGTATAGCTCAGTGGTAGAGCATTTGACTGCAGATCAAGAGGTCCCAGGTTCAAATCCGGGTGCCCCCTTGGTGGTGGTTTTTTCCTTCACTTTCTAACTAATGCAACCTGTTTTCCATTCTTTTTTTTTTTTTTTTTTTTTTGAGACAGAGTCTCGGTTTGTTGTCCAGGCTAGAGTGAGTGCCGTGGCGTCAGCCTAGCTCACAGCAACCTCAATCTCCTGGGCTCGAGCGATCCTTCTGCCTCAGCCTCCCGAGTAGCTGGGACTACAGGCATGCGCCACCATGCCCGGCTAATTTTTTATATATATAAATTAATTTCTTTCTATTTATAGTAGAGACGGGGTCTCGCTCTTGCTCAGGCTGGTTTTGAACTCCTGACCTTGAGCAATCCACCCGCCTCGGCCTCCCAAGAGCTAGGATTACAGGCGTGAGCCACAGCGCCCGGCCTTGTTTTCCATTCTTGACTCGTTTTTAAACATTGGATCTGAAGCTAAAAGAAAACAAATATGAAAAAGTCTTGACTCATTTTTAAACATTAGATCGCAGGCTAAAAGAAAACAAATATGAAAAAGTCCCTTCCTCATTTTCAACCTTAGCAGAAAGCTTTCAGTTTTACTTAATGACCAGCGGGAGGAGGAGGGGTGGATAGAGCACAGTCAGGTACAAAAGCTGCGTGCGCGTCCCCATCAGTGGCGCCAGAGGTGTCGGGATTTCTGGGACCAAGGCGACCAGCCTCAGATGTGTTGAACGTCAGAAGCACAGGTTGGGAGGACAGGATGACTCCCCCAAGTTGGCACTCTGTTTGAGTGGGGGTAAGGGAACAGGATGACTCCCCCAAATTGGCGTTCCATTTCCGCTAGGGGTAGGAAGTGGGTCAAAAGAAAGAAACCCACACACAGCCCTTCTCCAACTTCAACTTTCTGAATTACCAGTGACGAGGATGTACTGTGCTCACTCATGCCTATTGCTCCTGACACAAGCAGTGAACGCACTTAGAGAATGTGAAAATGGCTGATGCACAACCATCAGCTGATTTTAATGTGCAAAAATAAAGTTATAGCCTGATACAAAGTTATATAGAGGAATCCAATGGTTCTCAAACTTGGGTGTGCATTAGAATTACCTGGAAGGCTTGTTAAAACACCTCCAGCTTCTGTAGACCTGGAGTGGGACCCGGAGAATTTGCATTTCTAACAAGTTCCCAGGTGCTGCTGGTGCTGGGGGTCTGGGGACCACACTTTGAGAATCACTGAAGTAATAACACAAGTTTCATAACCACCGAGTTTCATAACCTAAGGATGGGAACAGATTATCTGCTGGTTGCGGGACTGACAATGTCACTGTTGGGCCAAAGGAAAAACGTTAACTGTGAAAAGAGAAGCAAGGGCTTCCCCTCGATTAGGTTTTGCCCAAAAAAAGGAAAAATAAAGGATAAAGGAAGAGCCATGCTGCCTGGGTCAAGGGGCAGCTGCGATATTTTAAACTCGGAATCTGGTTGTGTCATCTCTCTGCCCCAAGGGAAATACTGGAGAGCATTTTTTCTCCCAGCTCCCATTACTGCGAGCTGCTGTATCTGCAGGCCACACGGGGGAGGGAGAAATAACCAGTTTTTCTCCCCTTTCCTGGATAGCAGGCCTAGAACTTACTATCTGCAAGTTATCAGGACAAAGCACTGCCTTTGAGTCAATATAAAGAAGGAAAAGAAGTGTCCACCTTTTACCTTACGTCTATGCCAGGTCCTGTCGAACTCCTGCTCCCCACTCCCGACACGCCATTTTTTACCTCCAAACAAATTATAACGGGCTTTACAACAGCAGTGGGTATGGAGCAGTCCTGGAGATAGTACTAGCATTTTACCAGCCGAAAGTACGGGTGGTTTCTTGGCACTTCAGATTTGCAGCTCAGACCCATTTTAAAGCAAGCTGGCAGGTGTTCTACCTCTTGGGTAGGTTGGTAGATAGGGGCAAAGGACGCAGTTTTGGATTCACGACTCTGTTATCCTGGGTGGCTGTGGAAAACGTAAAGGAGAACGAGGGGGCACCCGGATTTGAACCGGGGACCTCTTGATCTGCAGTCAAATGCTCTACCACTGAGCTATACCCCCTCTACTGGCCCGGGTTTGCTAAATTCCTTTTATATCGATTCCAAAAAAAAAAATTTTTTTTTAATACTGTTTATCATTTGTTTAAACAGGGTCTTTTTGCTAGATAATACTGAATTTACCAATAAGGAATGACAGATTAAAAAATCAATCCGAGACGTAGCGGTAGTTTGAAAACATGTTAACTTAGGTACCAATCTGGTTTTTTTACCAATAAGGCTCAATTATTTATCCACAATCCCCTCATCTTTCTTCCCTAACAAGTCAGAGAACAAAGTTCTTGTAAAACTAGATAGGGAACGTTTTTCCCTGGTCTCTCCCAAATAAAAAAGAAAAGAAAAGAAGGTATCATTTCTGCATGTATGTAATTATATATCTGGATAAGTTTCCCAAGTTTTCAATTGCTAGGTCAAAAGTTACGTACATTTGTGCATTGATAGATACTGTCAAGTTACCAAGAAACGTGATTGATATTAAAGTTTCATTAAAAAAAAATACAAACACCAGCTAAAAGACACCTCCACTGAGAGGACTTCCTGGCTACACACTCAAGTGGTCCCACTCTCATTTTGTGGAGCGTGTACTGTGCGTCCCTCTCTAGGTGCCGGGCATAGGATACTTTCAATGGAAAGATACAAAGCTTCTCATTCTTACTGAGTTTACAATCTACTGGGGTCAGACTAGAAACAAATGCACAAATGAATAAACAAGGAAATGCCCAGTAGTGATAAGAGAAATCATTAAAACAAAAAATATAAGGTGTTAAGGAGGTACTAGGGGGTCTATTTCAAGCCGGATGGCCATGGAAGGCCTTTTTATCTATTTATTTTGAGACAGAGTCTCAATCTGTCTCCCTGAGTGGACGCCCTGAGTGGAGTACCGTGGCGTCGTGGCGTCAGCCTAGCTCACAGCAACCTCAAATTGCTGGACTCAAACTATCCTCCTCTCCTGCCTCAGTCTCCTGAGTAGCTCCAACTACAGGCGCACTACCTCGCCTGATTTTTCTATTTTTAGTAGAGACCGGGTCTCCTGAGCTCAAGGGATCCTCCCACCTCAGCCTCCCAGAGTGCTAGGATTACAGGCGTGAGCCACCCATGGAAGGGTGGGTGGGTGGGTAGGTAAGTAATTTGGAGTAAGTAATTTTACAGTTAAGACCAAAATGGCCTGAAGTAGTCAGCCATTTGGCCAACTGTGGGGAGAGGGCATTCCAGATAGAGGAAATGGCTACTACAAAGACCCTAAGGCCAGAGTAGCTGGAGAAGTAGCCAGGGCTATGGAGGGCCTTGTAGGCTGAGGTAAGGAGTTTGGATTTTATACCAAGTGGATGAAAAGCCATTAGACAATTTTGAACAGGAGAATTTGAAATCATCACCCAGACTGTTTTGAGGGAGATTTACAGGGAGTCAGGTGTCAACCCAGAGAATACACACAATGGAATATTATTCAGCCTTAAGAAAGGAGAAATCCTGCAATATGTAACAACATGGATGAAACTCGAGTATGTAGGAGCCAACTTGCAAAAGGCAGATTAATTGGAGAAAAGGCATACAAATTTATTTAACGTGTATACAAATGAGCCTTCAGAATGAAGACCCAACCCCCCAGTTGGCTGCAGAAGCTTATATACTATCTTGAGGATACAGAAAGCATAGGGTCTCGAATCCTGGCAAAACAGGTTATAGGAAAGGGGTAGAGGAGGAATTCTGTTGAGGGGCAATAAATGATTACTAGGGAGAATTCAATGGGCTTGAAGAACATACAATGGTCTGGGGCAAAGTCTGTTGGTCCCACAGAGTGGACAATGGTTTGTGACAAAGGTTTGTCCAGGTTTGATAACAGAGTTTAGTCCTCCTTCCTGCAATATTAGTTCAGTTAGTGAAAACTTAGGGAAGGGACCAGAGGAGGTAATTGTTTTCTTCTTTGGTAGATCTGGATTTTAGGCATATAAGGAAACTTCAGAGACTTCTGTTTGAAAGAGAAGGAGGGTGATCAGAGGACCTTAAGGCTTCTTCAGTTCAGCATGTCAAAATGTCGTATTTTGGGATATCAGTTTCTGAGCCCCAACAAAGATGTTATACTAAGTGAAATAAGCAAGCCACAGAAGGCCAAATACTTCATAATTCTACTTATATGACATATCAAAATACTCAAACTCACAGAGGCAGACTATAGAATGGTGGTGCCAGGGACTGGGGGGAAATTGCTTGGCCAATGGGTCTAAAGTTTCAGTTGTGCAAGATGAATAAACTCTAGAGATTTGCTGTGCAACAATGTGCCTCTAATTAACAATACTGTGTAGTACACTTGAAAATCTGTTAAGAGGGCAGATTTCATAGTAAGTGTTCCTACCACATTAAAAAAAAAGAAAAAAAAAGAGAAGAGAAGGAAATGAAAGGAAAGAAAAGGAAAGGAAAGAAAAGAAAAGAAGAAAAGAAAAGAAAAAAAGAAAAGAAAAGAGCCGGGCCTGGTGGCTCACGCCTGTAATCCTAGCACTTTGGGAGGCAGAGGCGGGCGGATTGCTCAAGGTCAGGAGTTCGAAACCAGCCTGAGCAAGACCCCGTCTCTACCAAAAATAGAAATAAATTAATTGACCAACTAAAAATATATATACAAAAAATAGCCTGGGCATGGGTGGGCATGCCTGTAGTCCCAGCTACTCGGGAGCTGAGGCAGTAGGATCGCTGAGCCCGAGATTGAGGTTGCTGTGAGCCAGGCTGAGCCAGCACTCACTCTAGCCTGGGCAACAAGTGAGACTCTGTCTCAAAAAAAAAAAAAAAAAAAGAAAGTAAAAAGGAAAGGAAGGAGGGAGGGGAGGGGGAGGGAGGGGAGGAGGGAGGGGAAGGGAGGGGAGGGGAGGGGAGGGAGGGAAGGAGACAGAGACACCAGTTAGGAATCTATTGCAATAACACAGGTCAGGGCTGATGGTAATGTGTTAGCCTACAGTGTTATATTAATATGTTTCCTATTGCTGCTGCAGCAAATTACTTCAGTTTATTTGCTTAAAACAGTACAAATGTATTAACTTCCAGTTCTGGAAGTCAGAATTCCAGAATTGATTCTGAAGACTTTAGGGGAGAATCTGGTCCCTTGACTTTTCCTACCTCTAGAGGCCGCTGCATTCCTTGGCTCACAGCCCCTTCCCCAATCTTCAAAGCCGGCAGCACAGCAGCCTCCGTCCCTCTGCCCTCTGCTTCTATCCTTGCATCTTCTCTCCCTCTGACTCTGATCCTCCTCCCAATGTAAAACCTATGGGATTACACTGAGCTCACCTGGATAATCCAAGATAATCCCCCTGTCTCAAGATCTTTAATCACATCTGCAAAGTCCCTTTTATCATGTAAGGTAACATTCACAAGTGGATTCACAGGGGGATTGGGATGTGGACGTATTTGGAGGGCCATTATTTAGTGTACCACAAGCAGGAAGAGTGGAGCCGGAGAGGAATGCAGGTGTCCATATTGACCACAGCAGGCAGCAGAGCTACAGCACTGGCTGTAGGTTGGATGGCTTGGGAAAGATGAGGGAAGGAGAAGAATCAAGAATGAAACTTGCTAGCCAAACACACTAATCAACTCAACTATGGTATACACCAAGCCTGCACCAAGCAGCTGAAGGTTGTTGAAGAAAAGCCCACAAATTGGTGTCACTCCGACCAATGTCAAACAGGTCTCTGCCTGGCATTCCTATACCACTGCCAAGTATGTTCACTTTTTCACTCTCCAAAATGACTCACATGTCTCCTGACTCAAACCTTCCACAAGGCCAAGGTGAAGGATCGCTGAACTCAAGAGTTCGAGACCAGCTGAAAGAGTGAACCCCCAGCACTCGCTCCCCCACAAAAAAATAGAAAAATTAGCTAGGCATGGTGATTGCACCTGTAGTCCCAGCTACTCAAGAGGCTGAGCAGGAGGATGGCTTGAGCCCAGGAATTGATGTTGTGGTGAGCTGTGATGACACCATTTGCCACTCTAGCGTGGAACGACAGAGGTGAGACTGGTCTCCAAAAAAAAAAAAAAAAAACACCCCAAACCTTCCACACCTTATTTCTCCTCTCTCTGTCAGCTGAAAAGCTTGCCTTTTCTTTTTGGAGGCAAAACAATCAGAAGATGCAGTGATGTGCTGATAAATGGTTCAAAACAGACTCGGATACCTGATTTGTACATTTTACCAAGGTGGGCAGTGCAAATACACCCACCTGCTGGTTCAGGTTACCAAAGTGAAGACAGTTGGCTACAAAAATTCCTGAAAATTTAACCATTGGTTCTCACAAGGTAGTTTGAGCTGAATCCAGCACACTTTTTTTTTTTTTTTTTTTTTTTGAGACAGAGTCTTGCTTTGTTGCCGGCTAGAGTGAATGCATGGTGTTAGCTCACAGCAACTCAAACTCCTGGGCTCAAGCAATCCTTCTGCCTCAGCCTCCCGAGTACTGGGCACTACAGGCATGTGCCACATGCCCGGCTAATTTTTTTCCTATATACGTATGATATTAGTTAGCCAATTAATTCTTCTATTTATAGTAGAGACGGGGGTGTCTCCCTCTTGCTCAGGCTGGTTTTGAACTCCTGACCTCGGAACAATCCTGCCCGCCTCAGCCTCCAGAGGCGATAGGATTACAGCCTGAGCCACTGCGCCTGGCCAGCGAACTTCAGATTAACTATCTCTTTCATCAACTACTGTCTATACACTGATAGTTCCCAGAATCATATTTCCAGCCCTGCCTCTCCCCTGTACTCTAGAATTAGCTGGATCCAACCACATACTCAACATCTCTTAAATGTCAAGTAGGCACCTCAAACTTAACATGTTGATCCCAACACTAATATGGGAAGTCTATGAGGATAGAGGGCTATACTTTATTACATTCTCTATAAAAGTTTTAAAAAGAAACTCTTGTTTCTTTCCTACATTTACCCCTTTCTCAAAAAAATTTTTTTAATTTCAGGAAATTATACCACCATCAAGCCAGATAGTAAAAAAAAAAAAACAAAAACCCAAATCATTCTTTTTTTTTTTTTTTTTTTTTTTGAGACAGATCTCACTTTTGTTGTTGTCCAGGTAAGAGTGAGTGCCGGTGGCCGTAGCCTAGGCTCACAGCAACTCAAACCTCCTGGGCTCTGAGCGACTCCTTCTGCCTCAGCCTCCCGAGTAGCTGGGACTACAGCATGTCGCCACCATGCCGGCTAATTTTATATTATAATAGTCAGTGTGGCCGAATTAATTCATTGTCTATTTATAGTAGAGACGGGTCTCGCTCTTGCTCAGGCTGGTTTTGAACTCCTGACCTTGAGCAAGGTCCGCGACCGCGCTCCGGCCTCTCCAAAA